GGCGGTGGGGTTCGGGCTGCGGCTCCGTGCTGCGAAGCGATTGCAGCTTGAGAGCCGAAACAGCGACGCGGGGGCACGGCTCAGCGCTACGTGGTCTGACGGCTACAAGAATAACTGCAGCGTGTACCTCCAACTGTATGAAAAGGGCTGTGTATTCTGTTCTTCAGTTTCATGCCTTTTAAGATGAGATAAACGGGGTTTTCAATTTGTTCATTTAAAAATTAATTCTCATTGCAGTGGAAACAACTTTGAAATTATCATCATAGATGATGGAAGCCCAGATGGGACACAGGAAATTGCTGAACAACTGGAAAAGATATATGGGTCAGATAAAATAGTGAGTTGTATATTCTGTATTTTTTTCATTTTTATTCTATTGGAAAGTACTTGAGGTCTATAGAGAACTGGAACAGAGTCCCTGGATTCTGTACTTTCTTTACATCCTTAAGTTATTTAAGTTTTTGCACACCACTTTAAACAAACGTAAAATTATGATCGTTCTGTAAGCCATTCAGCAGCATTATGAACTAATGCAGAACCATGAACTAATGTTTGTAAAATGTTTTCAACGCTTTGTGCGGTGTTGATGAATAGTAAAGGGTAATGAATAGTGGTTGTCAGTGTACTTTGTGCATGCCTGAGGGAAAGATGAGGTTTGGATAAACTTTAATTTCACTTTAAGTGACTGCAGGAATAGGGAAATTGGAAAGATGAAAGCTAGTCTGATCTGCTGATTTATTTTTCATCTGTCTAGTTGCATTCCTCAATAACAGGATTTTTTTTTCTATTTAATATATTACCGTGTAACCATGAATTATATATAATATAGCGGCATTTACTTAGTCTTTATGAGACATTAAAGCCAGGGGGTTTTCTTGGCAATAAAAGCTTTATCACAGAACAGTGTAAAAACCCAACGTTCAGTTTGACAGTGTTGTGCTGTAAGCAGGGTCAGGCGCTTTCCTAATCTGTTACTGTATAAATGTAAGGTTTTAAAAAGTATTTGTGAATTAAGTACCCTTTATAGGGATTACTTTAAGAACAATGTATATAGGAAGTTTTAGTCTTTTTTTTTTTTTTTTTTTTTTTTCCTTCTTTTTTGGTACTAGTAATAGAAAAGTTTAGAATAGTTAGGCAAGCTTTCCTCCCCATTTAAGAGTTCAATTTTGAAGTTTAATCTGTGGACCAAGCCCTGCAGCAGTGTTGAGCCATGCACACTTGAGGGCAATTATGTGGAGATGCTGCAGAAGCATCAATCAGCTGTGATTTTTCATTAGGTGACTTTTCATTGTTTACTGACAATTTTATTTTTTCTAACCTGAAATAATTTTTTTTCCTGAGCAAAGTCATTGTTCTGATTTGTGCTCAAGAGTGGTCATCTAAATAACTCCATGTGCTTCTCACTTACTACGTTATGCTTACTGAAAATATTTGCTATTAGTCTTTGTCATTCCTTAAAAGTAATGGTGCTGGGGAGACTGTTGTTCAGATTTATAACTGTATTTCAGATAGTGGAATTTGAAGAAATCATTTAGTTACTAAGCTGGTGCTTTTAATTTTGTTTTCTACCGCAGAACTACCAAGTAAAGCTTAAAAGTTGGTTTGGTTTTTTTTAAATATGATCTGGTGAAATACTTGTTTAATATAATGGTTTGTTTCTCCTGTATTTTGACAGATAAGTTTATTTTTATGTTATCTAGATTTCTAAAAATGAAAAGTACATTTTGAAATGTTTTTCTACAGCAAATTTTAAGCTGTCACTGAAATTAATTAAAAACTGTACTTCAAGTAATATATGTGTATTTTAATATATCCTGCAGCTTCTAAGACCCAGAGCAAGAAAGTTGGGCCTTGGTAAGTCTGTACGAACTCTGGTTAGTACTTAAAAAAAAAAAAAAAAAAAAAAAAAAAAGAAAATCTGTCCTATTCCTTGATTGCTTCTAGTGTATGAAGTTCCAGAAAAAATCACAGCAAAGCCCAAAAACAGAAATACATGTTTTCATCAGGTTTTTTGTAAGTGAACAAGCTTAAAAACCACACACACAAAAATCACAGAGTATTTATAACAAGTTCCTCACAACCTCAAACCTGAAAATTGTGGTCGCTGAAGTTCTGTACAGCTGTGTTTTTCGGTTAACATCACACTGCTTCTCTCCCTCCCATACTGCATTCACTGATTACAGAATGAGGGGTCTAAATTGAGGAAAAATGTAATCTTTTTACAAGAGTAGCTGCTGTATTTGTGTAGAACCTACTGATCCACGGGGGACAGTGGTACTTTCTGTGCAATCTACCCACGTTCAGGATGCTTCAAAAATTGGACCGTAGTTTGTGCAATCTCCAGAGAAGGGTGGGATGTTTTTCTGACGTGTTTGGGCAGAGCTCTTCACAGTTAACCTACTTCAGAGTGAATTATGACTATAAATCAATAAAAAAATACATATCTGTCAGATATACAGCACTCAAACTACTAAAGTATTGTCTCGCCTATTAACTGGTGTGAGAATTGACGTTTCTGAAGCACACTGCAAAAGTTACTTGTGTTACGGAAGCTTCACTCATTTGGGAGCCAATCTTGTACCGCTGAGATTGATCATTAAAATTTGCATGGGATGATGCAGGACTGCAATTTTATAGCTCTGATGCCATATTTCACAGAATATGTAAATCAACTTTGTCATTATGTGCTTTAGAAAAAAGCAGATCTAGGAAGTCATAACTGACATTAAAACTTGAGGTATGGAAACTATCCTAAAATAAAGTGAAGATATTTCCATCTGTTAAGATTCATATTGTATCTTTCTCCCTCCTCTCTTATAATAAGAATGGAGAAAATGATAAAATGCAGTACCTTGTTTGATTTATTGGAAATCACTATCTGCCTTTCTCGCTAAACGTCTTGGCAACCCCCACTTCCATGTGCTGGTAAAACAGTTGTGGTGTCTTGTGTACGGAGTGCTGCAGCTAATTCATTTCTCCAGTCTACCAAACAAATAAAAATTAATTTTGATATGAGTGCTGCAGCTAACTCAGTCTACCAAACAAATAAAAATTAATTTTGATATCAAATTGTCTATTTAAATTCATCTTTCTATACTTTTTTCTACTTCTGTCATTTATCTAAAACTCCTGCATATCTTTATTTTTGTTTTCTGCCTTTTCATCCTTTGTCCTAATTTGACCAGTATTATGGATTAAAACTGACTGAATTTAAATTGTTCATGTACCGTACTTCTAATCATGCACAATACACAAATCTGTAACACTCCTACTGTGTCAAACAACATGGAAAAAAAAAGAAAGGCAGGTTGTTTATTAACCAGGAGTTTAGCTTCCTGTGAGAGTGCCTGCTAAGGACAACAGCTGAGAGTGTTTTGTTTTCAGTTTTATCTATTCCTTATGAAGTTAACAGAAAGACTCAAGAGTAATTTGGATCAGTGAAGAGTATATGCCAGTTTTTAATCTCTGTTGTACTGCCATACTGTCCTTGGAAGCAGTGCTGTCTTTGAATGATACAATTTGCATCAGAAATTTGCCTTATTGAGGAAAACTGTAATAGCAAAACTTGTTCTAGCTCTTGTCAAGACAGCTACACCAGTTCATACAGGATGAATAAAACGCAACAAAATCTAAAGTAAGAGCAAAAAAAAAAAAAAAAGGCTCTACTCAGATTAGGTATCAGAATGTAATCCACGGTGTCAAGGAGAACAAACCAAAACCTATAGACTGCTAATAGTAAATTCTAAGTCTAGAAATCCGTTTTTTCCAACTATCGGTGATTATTTTGTTGTCTGTGTCCTATTTCTAGTTTTCCATGGCTCGTAAGTGCCTATGGCGCTTCTAAAAATGATATTTCAAATAGTGACCCACTTACCAAGTCATGTTTCTCTAGCACAGTAGGGTTTGCCAAGATTAATATTTATAAAATCTAGTGCTGAAATTATAGGGAAAAGGAAAAATAATTTTAATGTTTGACCACTGATACATCATCTTAAAATAAATTTTAGCAGTTTTTAGTTGATCCTTTGCTAGTATCACTTAGAGATTTTAGAAAGTAAGTAAAGACTGTGGCTAGAAGATTGCATATGTTAAAATAGTGAGGGAAATTATTTCTGTACTCTTTTCATCAGGCACTGCTTATATTCATGGAATGAAGCATGCCTCTGGAAATTTTATTGTTATTATGGATGCTGACCTCTCTCACCATGTAAGTCTAAATTTTATTTATGTACTGTGTTTCTAATCTCTTATAATTAGATTTTCTTCCCCCTCCACTCCTTTCTCTTTTCTGATCTGTTTTCCTTCCATTTCAGCCAAAATTTATTCCAGAGTTTATCAGGTAGGTGCTAATTGTTGTATGAGAGAATGATTGCTGAATGCTTACTGTTTCATAGTAATACTTGAAAGCTTTATATTCTTGTATTAGCTGTCTAGATGTAGTAAGAAAAATGGCAAGGCAAGAATTTAAATAAAAGTGATCAGACCTCATTAGATTTGTCCCGAAATAATCCAGACAAATAATTAGTTCCTAACTGGAGCAAAAATCCTCGAGTTTAAAGTAACAGAGAGCATGCATGGCTAAGTACTTCTCTTCCTTGTATGGTCGCTCAGCTTTGGAAAGCGTATATATAAATGTCATCTTCTAATTTCTTCAAATTCTAATGATTTCATCATGTGTGCATGTGGGGATATTGAATAGGAGACCATGTCCTCAGTTATTGGTGAAATGCTTCTCTCCCTTTTGCCCACCTCTTACCTTCCTCTCCCTCTAACATTTCAGTTTGTGAGAAACTCTCAACAGGCATTACGTTGGAGGCTGCGTGTAGCAGTCTGGGTAATTTTCAACTTGTTGCTTGAGTACTGGGGGCCTAAAATTTTAGATAAGGTTCCGCAGCAGTCAGGCATGGTATGGACTAAGGATAGTTCCTGACTTTTTTTTTTTTAAGCTTACTATGGGTTTGTGTGATTTGAATATTTAAATCTGTATTTTAAATAGTTGTCTTTTATACTAGAGAGAGGCTTTAAAAATGCGTAAGTCAGTCTTTTTAAATTATGTATGAAGTAGTCTATGAAATTGTATTACATAGTTGGTAAAAGATAATCATAAGATTCCCTGAAAATAGCTCTTTTAGTAGAACAATTAACGGTGTTTTTAAATGCATAATGCTTATAACCATTGTACTGTTGCTTTCCTCTCTTCTTCACTTATTTATACGAAGGTTTCTAAATACAGATTTTGTACTAAAAAGATTCCTCTTTTAGTAGAACAATTAACGTGTTTTTAAATGCATAATGCTTATAACCGTTGTACTGTTGCTTTCCTCTCTTCACTTATTTATTCGAAGGTTTCTAAATACAGATTTTGTACTAAAAATTGTGATTGTTCTTATTTTGAAATTTGTACTACCTTCATACGAATATTCCTCCTGTTCTTCTGATAAAACCAATTGCTTATAGAAAGCAGAAAGAAGGCAATTTTGATATTGTATCTGGAACAAGATATAAAGGAAACGGAGGAGTATATGGCTGGGATTTGAAAAGAAAATTAATCAGGTTAGTATTTTTCTGGATATTTACACATAAATTTGTTATTTAGAAATAATTCCAAGTACTCAACTCAGTCTATGTGAGCTGAACTGACTCCTTAGTCAATAGCACTGGGTACTGCAAAATTATATTGAATAATAGAAGCATGCATGACTTACAAATTCTTTGGTTAAAACCCACTAAGAAAGAATGTAATGATATAACTGGGCTTGAGAAATGGATTGAGACAGTGGACAAATCTGCATGGCATCAGGTTGGGACAGTCTTTCAGCTTCATCATCCAAAGAATGAGCTGAGACTGTGACACTTCTGTCAAGTTTAAGAGACACATTTAGTTAGCTTTAATGTCTGTAACGGTCCTTTCCCTAAACAGTAAATCACTTGCTAAACCCCTCTGTTGACACTCTGATTTGTCACAAGTTAAGAATTATCTGGCACAATCAATGTCAATAAATCATTACTTTGACCTTACTGGAAAACAGTGCAGACTAGGGAGAGGTTTCACCCAAAATCAAAGAGGAAATCTCTGTCAAGGTGTATAAGCATATGGAGGCTGAGATCTCAGGTTTACAGGAACTTACAGATTTTGAGGAGGTAATTGACATGTTCCTGCATGGTCTCTCTTACACCCGATTTAATAAGTTAATGCTGATTTATATGTTACCATAAAGAATTAGAAGCAGAAGATGTGTTACCAGTCTGATTTGGAGATGGTATCGCAGGGACTGTATTTGGATTCTCCTGGTTTTTAATGGCTGGTGTAAGTGCTCAGCTTTTTGTGAATCTAAATAAAATGTACACCCAAAAAAAGGAAGAGAGCTAAATGGACGTTAGGGAGGAATCCTTTTACATCATACTGGACAAGGCGGACTTCCACATCTTATTTGTGTGTAACACGGCCCTCAGCAAGATAGTCATGACTGGCTTTTCGGTCTCACAATGTTTTTCTTCAGTGGAGCTTATCCTTGTCATCCTATGAAAGCAGTGTAAACCAAAACTGAACCTTGATTTTTCTAAATCCAAGTAGTCTCACACATGTCCAGGAAGCATTTTCATTCTCCACTTGCAGTGAAGGTTAGTCAGAAGAAAAATGTTGTTTTGACTGTTGTCAAATTTGTTTCTTTTGTATTATATTAGTGTGTAGTTTTATTGACGGTTCTACCATAAAGAACCAGATTGTGAACTTAATTTCTAAAAATCATTGTTTTCTTGGTCTTAAAGAAGTTCAGTAATCTACTAATCATCTACATTTGAAAAAACAAAACATTGGCGTTTGATTTCAAGATTCTGTGATTCTATAATTTATTACTAAAATCTAGCAGTGAAAACATTAGAAATATAATTGTTTCATATTAAGCAATAAAAGGTTTCCTTTTTTTTGGTTGTAGGAAGATACTTATTATTTTCTAGAAATTCTGCTTGATCTTTTGGGATTGTGTACTGAGCAATTTTGACATTCATGTTTTCTTTCACAGTCGTGGTGCCAATTTTATAACTCAGGTTTTGCTGAGACCAGGTGCATCAGACTTAACAGGGAGTTTCAGGTATGCATCTGGTTTGCAATTCATAAAGTTTATTTGAAATTAAGAAACTGCTGAACAAGGAACTGGAGTAAGAACAGACTTTCTTTACTGGGGACTATGAAATCTGTTTGGAAAGGGTGTAAGAAATAGTGGACTAGATTGCAAGAATTGTTGCTCGTATGACTTTGTTAATTTTTTTATTATTTTTTTAAAATAGTAATGATATGAGTGATTACAGTTAAGATTTCTACACACTGTCTTGATTTCCGAAGTTCAGAAATTGTGCTTCAGGTTTCATTGTCTTTGTAATTGTTTACAGGTTATACAGAAAAGAAGTCTTACAGAAACTAATGGAAAAATGTGTTTCTAAAGGATACGTCTTCCAGATGGAGATGATTGTTCGGGCTAGACAGTTAGGATATACTATTGGAGAGGTATAGTAAAAGTTTTGATAAGTATATTGTGCTTTCATTTAAATGTAGATACAGATTACTGGGAGCATAGGAAGTTTTGTGCACTTCCAAGAAGCAGCAAGATTTTCAAATCAATATAAAGAAATCACCTATGTAGAACTCTTGTTTTTCCAGAGCTGAAATTCCAGTTACTTACTTCCCTGGCTGGTATGTTTCTCAGATCCTTCCCTCTTCCTATTGCCATTTCTTTAGCTGCATACAATTTTACAAGGTTCTTCAAAGGAGGGGAAGAAGTCAAAATATACCATGAAGCTGCTCTGAGCCTTTTCTTTCCTCCTTCATATTGTACAGGCATCTCTAGTTAGGTCTTTTCAAATAATTTTTTGTTCTCCAGCAACCAGGTTCTATTTCAGATTTATTCTGTTCTCTGTCGTTTGTTGACTTGTTATTTTCCAACTTTACAGCTATCACAACTTTCTACTTCTAAACTCTTTGAATGTGCTGTCTACAATCATTGAAAAAGAACTCCAAACAATTGTTAGATCCTGTATTTCCAGCAGTCAGATTGCTGCCTTATATATTTCATTGAATTGCTCTTGCTGGTGCCTTTAAAGATGATTCACTGGAATTCCCTCTGCAACCAAATCTCAGAAGCAGTTCTTCATCATCATTTCCATGACTGTGAATGGTCAGAGAATTGTGTTACTGGTACTTCTCGCTCTCTAAACCCCTTCATATTGCATTTCTCTAGCAACATCAGGTAGAGTATTTCCACACGATAAAGCAAGCTCTTTTCTTCCACCTTTCCTTATGGAGCAACATCACTATCATGTCTGTAGCTGGGGTTTGACGTAATTTCTTTGGTCTTCACATCCAGCTGCATTCACGTATTGCTTTCTAATAATGCTGAATTAAATCCTCACCTGTCTATACACCCAGATACTGAAACCTAGGGTAAGATGAGGTTTTATTCACTATACATTTTTAAAACAGTAAAATACACTTATCTGGCTTAAAAAAATGCAGTCTTGGGGTTGCTTATCCCTCTTCAGGCTGCTGCTGCAAAGACCTTTTTTCTGTCTATTATTTGATCCCACCACTCATTTATTTACATGCCTCTACTGGCTGTATAGCATCAAAGATAAGATATTTGTCTTCTGATTCAAAGCCTGACGGACAGTCTTCATGAGGCCTAGTGTCTCCCAGTCAGTGTTGAGACATGGGCTCTGTTTTGTGATGGGACAATTAAGCCATCCTCCACAAATCATCTGTTACATTCTCAAGTAAGCATCATCTTCCCTCCTCCTTTGGTTTCTCACATGTGGGAAGAGTTCTCTCTTAACATCTGAAAAGTTGCTTCATTATTCTGCTTCGGTCTTGTCTTTAAGATTTCCGTTGTGATATCTGCAGCAAACGTGACAATGTTCAGATTGCTGACATAGACCTTTGAACAAGACTGCTGTATTTTTACTGTTCTGTGTATCATCTCTATATTGTAACTTCCTGGGACAGGACCATTACATTTCAAGTACATTGATACAGTACTTTCTGATCAATACTTAGAATCTTTATATATTTTACAATTATCCAAATAGTAATACCAAAATTCCAGAAGAGGTGACGCTTGCACGTCTAATTCCTGGTTTGCAGGTGCTGCAACTCTACAGGCAGAATAGGAGTTTTTATGCAGTTGTAAAATGTAGATACAGTTGTGAGGGTAAAATATTTCTTAAGCCAAGTTGAAAATGAAGATTGAGACCTGCCAGTCTAAAAGGAACAAACAGATGATGAGATGAACTGACACAAGCTATACCTGAACAGTTTCGTATGCACCTCTGTTTCACTTTGCTATACTTTCTTACCATATGTGAAAGGTATCACAGTGCATGGAATATACCCTTTTGAAAATGCTTCCTTTAAGACTAATGATAGAACTTCTTCTGCAATAAAGGCAAAGTCCAGCAACAGCACAGATGGTTAATTCTTATACTGAAGGTAAAGACTGGATACCTTTTCCTAGATGAGATATTAAGCATTCTCTCATGACTGGTCAGGAAGTGTCACTTCTAACATCCTGCACTGACTACATACTGAGTGATTTCTGTCCGTGCCCTGTAGATCAGCATCTGTAGTTGCCAGGATGCTTGCTGGGATCATCAAAGGGACCCTACTAAGAAATCCAACGTCACTGTTTAGTCTATCTGCGTGCCTTTTAAGGTATCTTCCTTACTGTCTTCTTGCCCTGGGTTCTCTTCTGCTGTGGACTGATCTGCTAGATTTGTGAGAAAGCCTCAGTCCTGGCACAGATGCAAGGGTGTGGTGATTTTTGTGTTCCACTTGCCAGATGATTGCTGGCTGAAACTGCCAGCAGAACATGAAGCCAATTTTTTAATGACTTTTGCAAATGCAGTTCTTTATTTTAGCCCCTGAAGGATTTCAGTTTTGCACACAAACATATATGGAAATTCTGGAATATTCTAATACAGTGTTGGCAGAATGTGCTGTCACATGTCATTTGTACGTGGTCAAACTACTGAAAAGCAGTATGTTCCTACCATTTTATGAGTAGTGAGTTGATCTGGACAGTATGATCATTTAAGTAAGGAAACCAAAACTGGTGTTTTAAGTGCCCTTTAATCCTGTAAATAATCTATAAAATGGTCAAAGACAAAGACAGCTATTGCTTGTAAAATATGCAATCACTGCCATATTCGGATGTCCTCTTCTAGCCAGTGGTGAGGTTGAGCAGAATGCTGTTTTGGCAGTGGGAGATTTTTGCCTTCCTGAGGCACTGACTCAAAGGTACTGAATTTAGCTAACAAGGCAAGCAGTGAAGGTTCATTTTAAGCCCCCAGGCTTTTAGTGCACTTAAGCAATTAAGTTGGTTCTGACTGGTGTATCATCCAGCCACTGAGAATGTCTCTGGATCATCTTTAAAGGTGATGAACCAAATAATTTCATGCTCCCCAGCTATGGGGCATCATTAAAACCACTGGTAAGAACTGACACAAAGGAAGCTAATCTGTTGCTTGCCTTCTTCCCATGTCTAAACATGCTGTAGTTCAAAGGCCATTCTTTTGTTTACAGAATATCTAATTATTTAGGTTTTGAACCTTAAAAATAGTTTTGCTTGTTTCAACAGGTTCCTATTTCATTTGTGGACCGTGTCTATGGAGAATCTAAACTGGGAGGCAATGAAATAGTCTCCTTCCTAAAGGGACTCTTGACCTTGTTTGCTACAACATGATAGTTTATTCCTAAATTAACTTTTTTAGAAAAACAGTTTCTGACATCTGTGTGGTTTTTAATACATAATAGCAGAAGCTTGATAATTTGTGTGGTGACCAGAAGACCTGCTATAAACTAACAAATGAACTACCAATAATAAACTACTTATATTGTATCCCAAAATGCTCCTTTCAAAATAAATGAACTGTATGTTAAACTAAAAACTAATAAAGACTAATGCTTTATTCTATTTTTGTAAAAATAATGAAGTCTTAATAAAGAACACAACGCTAAATGATCTTTTGCATTTAGAAATGAATCATTATTCAGCAGAAGCTAAAGATGATTTTGAAATAAAGACAAGCAAGGACATAAAAAATACAGAATTTATCTTATCTTTGTTTTGTGGGTTGCAGAGAGTATTTTAAATACATACCAATTAGTTCCCTTTCTTTCCTCAGGACATATATACGTGTATCTTAAAGGAGATATATAGAACAGTTTCTACAGAACTGATAATAGCTTGTGTAGTTTAAGAAGAAATACAGATGAATACAGTGATTTGTTCATTGTAAAATTGTTCCTAGACTAGAAAGAAGGAATATTCTTTGGATAAGAAGGAGAAATGTATACATGGAATAATCCTGCATTCTCTCTGTTTGTCCAGAAGCAAATGATTCCCTGTTCCTATTTTCTTTAGAAACGAAACATTTTTAGAATCTATAGAACAGGAGTATGACATCTCGCCCAGCTTCAGGGTGACAGAAGACCCAATTCACTTCAGATCCTGATGAACGAAATACAAAGAGAGTAATACTATTTTTTGTTTCATGGGTTGATATAGCCAGAACTCAGAAATGATGAAGCCCTTGCAATCAAATATGCACTCGGGGGGAGCTGGGAAAAAGAAAGCAGGAAGATTAAATTATTCTGATAATTGCTTTATTTATATATATATATATATATATGAAAAATATGTCCTTGTTTATTGGGGGGGAAAGGTAGTTCTGTGGATACCTATATCAAAAAATTAATGGTAGGAGAGAAGCAACAAATGTCTCAACAGCTCTGCCTATTGGGCTTTGTCTGCGTTCCTTTAGTACACTAGATAAAGTTGTTAATATTAGAAAAAAATTTTAGAAAGCCTGGAGATAAATGATAAATTTGTATTTCAAATAGTTACCCCAGTCAGTGACAAAAATTAATTAAATAGAACTTTAAAACAAAAGCTTATTTTCTAGTGGACTGCTTTAGAGATACTCCTTTGTTCTTTAGTGAAGTTGTACAGTTTCTGATATTTTTCTCCTTTTCTGAGTATTCAGAACAAATGTTTCATATTTAATTTGCTTTAAAATAATAAAAAAAAAGTAGCTCTAGGTTTTGAATCTACCTGTAATTATTACAGAGACTTAACTGTACATTTTGTGACAGTTGCCTGTACTTTTCCAGCAAATTGTATATAATTTCATTTGATGCAGGCTAATCAGATCTAATAATAGATACAGAAATAAATCTCTGGGTCTAAAGGACCACTGAAATATCCAGTGAATAGGTATCATCTGTTTATGTTTCATTTGGAGGTTGCACCGCTAAAATCAATGTGTTAAGTTGAAAATAGGTACAAAGTTTTTAATGACCAAATAGTGAGTTTTAGATGTTTATTCAAATTTACTTACTACTGAAAACCACTTGCTGGAATGCAAATTGAACCTCAACAAGATAATATTTTTCTCCATCTTTTATGTAGCAATATATATCTGAAGTCCGTAATATTAGTTATTCATGATCTAATTGCTGTGAATTAGGGTTTAGCTTTTAGAATGTGCATGCCTACTTTTTATTTATGAAAATTATCTGGTAGATTTCCTTCATTTCTCTATTTATGAGGTGTGTTTGGAGGAAGGTGGTACTACATATAAATTAGGATCATACTACATGGCATAATTTGTGTGCTCCGGTATGTGAAAATTTGAAACATGACTGGGCTACATTCACTTTTGATATAAAGAGGTAATATTTCTTACTATGCTTAAAGGTAATGATGTTTAAGTTATCAAGAAAGAAGTGCTATAAATAAATGAAAACAAGTGTTTCATGGCATCAGGACACAAGCAGACACTCTACAATACTTCTTCAAACAAGAAAAGGTCACAAGAGCAAAACTGGTATCAATAGCTGGCACCGAGCTACTTGTAGGAAGCACTACCGAAAGGAATACATGGAAAAGTGGAAAGAAGCAGAATTAAAAACATAGAGGCTTTCCCTGAGTTAGTGGATGCGCACACACACAAAGCCTGAACTTCAGAAGAGGTAGCTGTTGTTTCTGCATTTGACCCTTAAAGCACTTGTAGAGGGGAGAATCATAAAATAGTATGCTGTTAATGTTGAGTTAGAAAAAAAACCAGACTCTTTACCCAGAACTGGCCTAATTCACCTCTCCCTTCACCCTTTCCCACATCTCAGCCTGCAGTACTTTCTTTCCAATGAATTTCTCCACTGAGGTGACTAAAAACATCTGGTTTTAAAGTATTCTGTGTCTTTCAGCACAGCTACTTTCAGCACTTAGATCTGGCACTGTAGAACCTCACCAGTACTTGAACAGTGTTCTGTACATAAGGAAAACACTGCAAAAACAAGCTCTAAGACTGCATTCTATTTCTCTTGTATGCACTGCTGTCAGAGTTCATGAAAAATAAGTATGGTAATGCTGTAACCACTGTTCAGAGCTCTAACAGAGGTCCTTTAATAAAGCTAATATTTTTTTAGCAAATAATGGGATGAAATAGCCATCACTTAGTGCTACTTAAACTGTTAAATTTTACTTTTTTAACATAGAATCATAGAATGGTTTGGGTTGGAAGGGACCTTGAAGATCATCTAATTCCAGCCCCCCTGCCAAGATCAACCTTCCACTAGAGCAGGTTGCTCAACAAACTCTTTGAGTTACTTGAATTTGTTCTCGGCTCCTTTTAATCAAGCCTCTTTGTATTTGAAGACCACCTATGCAAATTCTTAACATAAACCCCAAAATTTTAAAAGAATATGTATTGCAGGGGAAGAATGGCTCATAATGTAAGAAGGAAGTTGTGCAGGAATGGCTATGCTATCTCTTACAGTGCTCAATGGATGTAGAATGAAAGCAAGGAAGAAACACGGCTAGTATGATCTTTGCCCAAAACCACCAGCAGTCAGCAATACAGGGTCTTTCAGAGCCAGAGGTCAAGAAGGTCTGGACTTTTTAATGGTTACTTGTGTTTTCTAAGAATTTGATTGCTTTTTGAAGTTTTGGCTTCTACAGCATCTTATAGCAATGAGTTCAACAATTTTAATACATGTATTTATGAAGTGTTTTGTTTATTTTAAGTTTACTGCCTAGTAAGTTCATCAGATGTTCTCAAATCAGTGGATTGAGAGCAGCCCTGCAGAGAAGGACTTGGGGGTATTGGTGGATGAAAAACCAAATATGACCTGGCAACATGCGCTTGCAGCCCAAAAAAGCATTGCATCCTGGGCTGCATCAAAAGAAGCATGGCCAGCAGGTCGACAGAGGGGATTCTCCCCCTCTACTCCGCTCTCATGAGACCCCACCTGGATTACTGCATCCAGCTCTGGGAGCCCCAGCATCAGACAGACATGGACCTGCTCAAGCAGGTCCACAGGAGAGCCGCGATGATGATCAGGGTCTGGAGCACCTGTCCTATCAGGACAGGCTTAGACAGCTGGGGTTGTTCAGCCTGGAGAAGAGAAGGCTTGGGCAAGACCATATTGCAGCCTTCCAGTAACTGAAGGGAGCCTACAAGACAGCTGGAGAAGGACTTTTTACAAGGGCATGTAGGGATAGGACAAGGGGTGATGGCTTTAAACTGAAAGAGGGTAGATTTAGGTTAGATATAAGTAAGAAATTCTTCACTGTGAGGGTGGTGAGGCACTGGAACAGGTTGCCCAGTGAAGTTGTGGGTGCCTCATCCCTGGAAATGTTCAAGGCCAGGTTGGATGGGGCTTTGAGCAACCTGGTCTAGTGGAAGGTGTCCCTGCCCATGGCAAGGGGGGTTGGAACTGGATGATGAGGTCCCTTCCAACCCAAACCATGCTATGATTCTAATATTCTATGTTCCCTATTTCTTGTTTCCCGTTTGCCTTTTCCTATTATTTTATAGACCCTGCTCATCCCCTCATCAGGCTCAGTCTTGTCTTTTTAATTTCCTCAGAAGCCACACCACACATTGCTATTCTCAAAATGTTAGTAGCAGACTATAGTAGAAAAACAATTCTACTATAATCTTTAGAGATCAGGTGCCTAGAACTCCACACAATGTCTTAAATACTCACATACTAGGGATTTCTGTAGTGGCATTTTAGTTTTAGATTCCTTTCTTAATACCATTGCAATACTCTACGGGCCTTGTTTTGGCCACCACAAAACACTGACTTGACATTTACAGAGAATTTTTCATTTTATGTCCCTGGTTTTACAGTTTCACATAAATCTGCTTTTCTTAATTATATCCATATTCATTTCCTATGAAGGCACAAATACTCTGCTAATGTACTTCATTATATTTTCTTAGGAATCTGAGTCTGCAAGCACTCAATCATTTGGCAAGAACAGGAGTTTTAATTAAATCGGTATATATCATGGATATACTTGGTCAGGCATGTTTAATGAAGAGAGGGAAGAAGGTAACTCACATTTTACACCAGTAATATTCACTTTCCCCTGAATGGCAAACTGATTACCTCCACTGGCAGACAGGCAAGGCTCTGGGAAGGTCTCATGTTCTCTCATTGTGGGCTAGAGACTCATCGTGATGTATAAAAACTCTCACCCGGCAGGCTCAGTTCTTCAAATCCATTAGAACAGCCAAAGCATGTGCTAAACTTCAAGCATGCAGTCCCAACAGACTTGAGTTCAAGAATGAGTTGTGGAGTTTTGCATGGCATATCACAAGGATTATCCTTGACCTAGGTTTGTGCTTGTGCTCTGGTTTGAGAGTATTTCTGAATGCAGGTCCTCAGTCAGAGCTCTGCTGAGTGACTGAAGCAGCCCTGTATTAGTATGAAGTTTTTTATCGGATAATTGAGCCCCCACTGCGAGCTGAAACAGATAACTGGGGGCTCCTAAAATTGATACCACCTTGTCCAAAGTCTTAGCACCTGATCAATTATACTACACGGCAGCCGGCTGTGGTCTCCTCATGCCCCTAAAGCCCTCAACAGCCCTGCCTCAGGGATATGCAATACAAGTTCATACCCTGAGGTATGGATTTTG